AACTCGATGAGGATGTGGAAAACCACACTTGAAGCCAATGGCAAGCCACTTACCCAAGTGTCCATCAAATGTGGCGATGCACTCTCCCCACTGCTATTCTGCATAGGACTGAACCCCCTAAGTCAAGTAATCACCAAGACAGGCTACGGATACCGCCTCAGAAATGGAGCTACGATCAGTCACCTTCTCTACATGGATCTCAACTCAACTCAACTCGTGGATGACATAAAGCTGTATGCTAAGAGCGAAAAGGACGTAGACTCCCTGATCCACACAACCAGGATCGACAGCAGTGACATCGGCATGTCATTCGGGCTTGAGAAATGTAGTCGGATGGTGACTAAGAGAGGCAAGTTAGTCCACACTGAAGGGGTCTTACTTCCTGAAGGAACAATAGCAGACATTGAGGACAGCTACAAGTACCTTGGTATACCACAAGCCAATGGTAACAATACTCAACTCAACTCAACTCAACTGTATTTATAGAACACTTCCAAACAGCCATCGCTGCATACAAAGTGCTGTACATGGAGCAATTCAACATATACAACAAACAGTAAAGCAAATCGGTAATAAAGATGGTAGAAAGCACCGAACAGCAAAACCAAGAGCAAATCTAAGTCATGCTGAGTCAAATGCCAAAGAATACAAGTGAGTTTTGAGGCGGGTTTTGAAGATGGGCAGCGAGGAGGCTTGCCGAATGTTCAGTGGGAGGGCATTCAATACCCGTATCTCATCAACTCTTCTCATGCGTAGCGAGTCTACCCCTGTACCGTTCACACGTCCAATTTTATATCGGTGCTGCCCCGCAAACTTGCATTTACTCCGGAGTAAATTTTTAAACCACCTCCTTAGCAGGGTTAAATTTGCTCCGGTTTAAGCCGTTTTCAGGGGCTATACCGGTATAACTTTGAACGTGTGAACACTCTGCGGGGGGCAACCCCAGTGCTACACCAGAGTAAAAGTTGCCGTGTGAACACCTCTTCTGTCATACACGCAGTCCTGATGCAAGACAAATCTTTAACACATGAAAAACAAGCCGAAACTCATGAACAAAGTATTTGTGTAATTCTGCTAAATTGTTAACAAAACAAATTCAACAATGAAGACAATCGCCTTACTGTTGTCTTCTTGTATTTGGCAGTGGCGATGATAACCGACTGTAGTTCTCACTGTGAAATGAAGTGTGTTTGCTGTTATCCTCTCACAGCAAGACTGAAAACAGTTCACTCAAAACCAGACCATCAAAAAAGAGCAGAGACATAATACATCAACAATGCAGAAAGTGTTAAAAAAAAAACCCCAAACAAAAACCATTGTGTCTTGGGCCTTCTCCTAATAGATGAGTGTCTGTTTAATGTGAAGTCAACTCAACAGTCATTTTAGAGCGGCGGAATAATTGTTTTCGCTCTCAATCGGAAGGATTTTGAGATTGTTCGGCGTTCATGCTGAGTAATGCTAAGGAAATTCTGAACGCAGCATCCTGTAGATCATCTGTACAAGAGGGGTCCTGTGACCGTATCATCAAGCGCTTCTTTGTTCCCCAAATCATCAGCTTGCTCTCACAGTTTAGCACGTAAGGACCACGGACAATATCAGCCACTGTTTATCCTTTCAGCTTCATGGCTGAAAATATGATTAGCATTTCCTGTCCTCATGAAGGGCCCTTTAGCTGCCACCAAAGTACTATTCATCATTAAGTGGAGGATTCAAAATAACGCACGCAGACCGAAACTAGGTTCAAGGTCCAGTTGGTTTCAGGACATTTTAAAATTGTAAAGAAATGTTGAATTGATTTGATTAAGTGTAATTAAACCGAATGTCAGTAACATGCACGAACACACACGGTAGTACATTTATGTCTTGTGACTTTAAATGGCATGGCCTCCCTTGACCGTGCTTTGTGGCTCCAGCTCTTTTGTCTCTCCCCTGCACAGTTCAGACAGCTGAGACGAAGGAGGGCTTACCTAACCAGTGAGAGCTCAGAAGGTCATATTGACACCTCACAGGGTTTCTTAATAGCAATGGACGTGGAGGGTTGTGGGGGAGGGGGCCATCCACGGGACATGGTGCATGTATGTTGCTGATCAAGAACACTGGCCAACAGAACTTGAGTCAAATGTGTTTATATAGCTCTTAATCACAAAAAAAAGTCTCAAAGGGCTTTACATGCCCATGGTTGACAAATATTGACACCGCTTGATCTTAACCCCCATGAGGCCAAGGAAAAACAAACCAAAAAGAAAACATCTTGGGGGGAAAATTGAGAAACCTTGAGAAGGGGCCGCAGATGGGGGAGTCCCTCTTCCAGGATAACAAGGGTGCAATGGATGCCGAGCTGGCAACGTTTTACACATTTGATGATGCTACACAATGTTAGTTGATATGTTACGAAAGTCCAGTCATTCAGATGAAGTGCGACAGGAAGATGCCAGTTGGTCAACGCAGCGCCTCCAAGGAGGTTGTCAATCTCCGTTCTTGTCCCAGACAGTCGGTGCATAATGCAGACAGTGACTTCCAATTCTTTCATCATCACCTAGCCTCCGCCCCAAGCCGGGGCTGGTGAGAGAATGGAATAGCTTTCTGTCCCATAACGTATTTTTGATGCGGATTTCAAAAATGTTTTCACTTTTTTTCCAACACATCAAGTTTTTGAGACATTTTCATTTTGGGTTTATTAAGTTTGACCCTGGCGGCACAGTGATTATCTGCTGAGGACGTCTGCCTCCCAGGATTCGATTGCAGGCTCTCGACCTTCCTGTGTGGAATTTGCATGTTCTCCCCGTACCTGCATGGGTTTTCTCTGAGTACTCCAGTTTTCTCCCCCATCCCAAAATCATGCATGGTAGGTTAATTGACACCTCTAAATTGTCCCTTGGTGTTATTGTGGGTGTGAATGGTTGTTGTTTGTCTCTGTGTGCCCTGCGATTGGCTGGCAAAGAGTTCAGGGTGTACCCCGCCTACTGCCCGAGGACAGCTTTCAGACAGCTTTTGCCCTTTGTTTTATCAACAAAGTAACTCAATCTACTTTACATAATTAAAAGTACAATATTTAAAAGCAAAAATAAAACCACACACACACACACACACACACACACACACACACACACACACACACACACACACACACACACACACACACACACACACACAAAAGAATGAAAGACACTTCAAAACAAAGTTGGTGTGCATTTTCACATCCGCAACCAATAACAAATGCCACAAACTTCAAGACTGTTTGCACTTCAGACAATTTGCGTTTTACCTGCTTTCTTTGAATCACTATTTGTGACTTTTTTTTTTTTTTAACACTAGACCCGGGAATCAAACCACAATGGGGATCAGCTGAAGGCCGAGCGGTGCAGCCGGACTACCAGAACCCTGAACCATGTGGCCCTGGGACTCGGCATCGGGGCTTACCTCATCCTGGTTGTCTATTTTGTGGTTCTATTGAGCGTGGTGTAAATGGTTAACTTGTTTCGTTAATGTCTCATATCCTGATCCCCATTTTCTAACCAAATCACATTACTGTGGTCGTTATGTTGAAGTCACTTGATTGTCTGTTTGTTAAAGGAAAAATGTACGGCATATTACTTCTGTCGGACAATTTGATCTGGTGTGCTTTGTTTATTATCCAAATATTTCGATGGAACATCAGCTCCTTTCCGACCAGCTTCACTGGCATTTTAGTCTATGTGTAAAAACACCAGATTTTTATTTCAAGCTAGTTTTACAGGTGTCAACAGAGCAGGCACTTTCAAAATAAACATTGAAGGCAATAGATTGGACATGCAGGACTGTCTTTTCAATCCATCACGGGCCAGAGGGAAATAAAACCTTTTTCATGAACATGTGCTGTTCTTCCTCTTCTTTTCGAGGAGAAAAATGCTTCCCCTGTCCCTCAAGAGACACCGTTCCTCATATCGTCAGTAGCTGCCATTGTTTTGGGCTAAGCTATGGTACCATCATCCCCTCAGGTTCTGGAGTCCAAATAAGCTTGGCTATGACACAGCACAAGGAAGAACTCACGACATGCTTTTGGGTGGAATTTGGATTTCCCCTTGAGAGATGTTAAAGAAGATGAAAAAAAATCTGTTTCTTGAAATCCATTGCATAGTTTTGTTTCTGCAGGCTGGTATCGGTGGGTGTTAAAAAGGGATTGCAAGTGGTCTTTGCTTGTAAAATTAATGTGTCTGTCTAAAATGACTTCCTCTTCGTTTCTAAAGATTTAGGACTTGTAGTAACTCCGGCTTTGTATTTTGACTTTGATGCCTAAAAAGTTGATTATTGTTCCATCCCACGCGCTATGTTGTAAAAATGATACTTTTTACATGATTATGACTGTAGCTGCCTTCTACCGTGCTTTTGAAGGTGACCTGTCTTTGATGAATAACCTTCAGAAACAGATGCTTTCCCATGATGTCATCACACCTATCCAAAGAATCTGTGGAGAGGAGCGATGTATCTGAGCTCATTGTCTCCTCCAATAGGTTCTGTCATATGAAAGTGATTTTGTGTGTGTGTGTGTGTGTGTGTGTGTGTGTGTGTGTGTGTGTGTGTGTGTGTGTGTGTGTGTGTGTGTGTGTGTGTGTGTGTGTGTGGCCAAATAGTAAAATGTACCCTGGTCACAAAGTCAGCAGCACAGGTGGGCAATAGCCTGGTGGTGGTTGTGAAATGGTTGTTATCTGCTTTTTGTCATTGCCGAGTGTTCATGTTCATCTCTCATCCAAAGCTGAAAAAGCAAGCCTGTACTTTGTAACAAATTTCGTTATAAATAAAGTTCCAAATTTTTTGAAAGGAAAAATACATACTTTGCTGCAGACTTTTTATTTGACAAGGTCCCCCACTCCCCCCCCCCTCCACTATTATGACAAAACAAAAATGCATTGTGGTTGCATTTATTTGACATATTTGTCTTTGCTTTCAAAACTTAGCTTGTAGCAGACGTGTGCACATTTTCAACATGACGTCTCTGATCCACTGGAAAAAAGGACACTTTGATCCTCTCCTCTTTCATCTATAACTGCTTCAGACAACAAAGTGTATGCAGGAAAGTGGTAAGATTGCACGACTGTCTGTGTCCTATGTATTGTTATTTGTGTTATTTTGACTTCAAGATGGCGCCGCGAGAGTGGCTGCCTTTCCAGCACCTCCTACATTTTGTTGCTCTACTTCTTCCTTTCATAACTTTGCTGCTGTGAATTGGGAATTTCTCCATTGCGAGACTACCGGCAATAAAGGTTTTCTTATCTTATCTTAATCACTGTTTGTACGTATCCAATGTCAAAAGTGGGTCAATATTTGTAAAGCAAACGTCATCTCTCATTGGGATGATAAAAGAATAAATTATCAACGGACTGAATGCAGTCAAGTAAATGTCAAACAACACTCCCTTGTCAATTATTAAACCACAATCCCATGAATCCAACACTGTCGCACAGTTATCAGGGGCCGGCCATTTGTTTCCACATTTAAACCATTTACAGAAACAACATTCCCAACCGGGTAGCTCAGTCAGTACAGTACATTATGGTACTGAATGGAGGGCTGGATCGGGGCAAGACAGATTTCTGACGGCACTATAAGCATCCCCAAGCATCGGTGTAGCACTGTGCATGCTGCTCATTTTCTCATTCTCCTATAAGTGTGCCATTCAGAAGTACATCGTGATATTTCCCGAGGTGGGTACAGAGTAGACATGTCCACATCAATTATGGTGTCGTATGGTCGCCATTTTTTGCCAATGATTTTGAATGGACAAATTGTATCTGGTTCACCCGCTTGACTACCACCAAGACATGGGAAGATGGTAGGAGGCGTGGCTAAATCGCTGACCAGGAAGAGGCGTTCTGAGTGGTGTTTCGGTATTGACTGATTTCGCCAAAACAAATGGATAAAATTGAAAATGCTAGCTATCATTTTCCCGATAAAAAAAATAGAGTTTTTGAAAGAATAAAAGGCCATATTGGTTGGATGATCCCCATAAGAAACAGCAGCAGTGTTTTAGTCTTTGCTCGCAAAAAATGTGGTTTATAGTTTCAATACACACTGGCTCATACAGTATTACATTTGCTTGTCACTTTGAGTGTCTGGAAAATTTAAGAATCGTGAACTCTTACCAGATGAAAACGAATCAAAGATAAGAGCTTGCTTCACTTGTGGATGGCCGAGCCCACTTTCTCATGCTTTGTGACATTTTGTTTGTAGCATCAAAACTGACAAAGACCTTTGTCAAGGGATGACTTGGGCAGATAGTGTTTCTGAATTCTGAAAGTGTAAAGTGTTGTGATTGGCCAAGGACACAGGAAGAAAGGCAGGTTGATGCTGCAGTGGAAGGAGTGTAAAGTTACAATTTGGCCAAAAATGACTTAGGCAATTATACTTATGTGGCCAACAATGTTCATAACCCCCCCCCCCCCCCCAATATATAAAACCTGCCTTTCACCCCAGGAGAGAGAAAAATCCCGAACCTGAAGCAGCTCCCCCTGTTCAACATACTTTTGCTGCCACCTAGTGGGATCCTAGAAATAAGGACAAACGTTACTACGACAGGAGCTACTTCCGTATTTGGAGGCGATTTTTTTTTGGGGGGGGTGAGGTGCGTTTCGCAAATACTGACACACGAAGACATTGATCTCGGGTATCGTCAAAAGTTTGTGTCGAAAGTCATATTTGTTTTTTTACATGGACAAACGCAGTCGTGTGTATTATATATGGTCTATGATAACCCGGTCGTAGCTGAAGTCAGAGGATAGACATCTTGCGTTGCCATTGTTTCTTCCAATTCATTTTTTTCCGCTGAAAACACTGGGCGAAAATACAGTGAGCGCAATACCGTTTCACCCAGACCGTTCGGAATATAAGAGGGTTTCTCAAATTTGTCGTTAAATTTTTCGAATTGAACCAAACACTTTCATAATAAAACATACAGTACACCCATATTCTCTCTCTCTCGGAAGGGGGGGCGTGGAAGTGAGAGAGAGAGAGAGAGAGAGAGAGAGAGACACACACACTCACACTCACTCACACACACACACACACACACAAAAAAAGACTTGTGGTCCCAAGCACGCACTCAGGTTTTCACTGCATTTTCACTATTTAGAATAACATGCCGTTGTCCAGTTTTATAGGATATGAAAGGTATGTCTGTTCCTACACAATCGACCATTTATTGATATGAAACCAAACAAGTCAGGAAAAAACAAACAGACACAACAGGCAAATAACTCAAGTCACCACTTCAAATGATTCTGAAAGACATGACATTAGTGTCTCAAGTGACAACACCTAATCAACCTTAATTTACACTTAGAAACCTTGATGTATGATGATAACATGATCGATTACATATTAAATCCATTTTTTTTTCATCAAATCACCAGTGCATCGATAACTTAGGCACTGGTTGTCTTTGACATTCATACCATCATCCATAGGCACCAATTTAGACCTGGCGAAAACTTTGAGAAGTTAAACATCTGTCAGATATTGAAGAGAAAGCAAAGCAATAAAATCCATCACAAGTCTGAATTTCTTCATGAGTAAATTTTTGTTAATGATAAGACATATACAGTATATAATAAGGTTCATTACTTGTAACTGCAAACACACCAACAGATCACAAATATATGTTAGCCAAGGCAACAGTGAGTAAAACGAGACGACATTTTACTTGTGCGGATTGTATAATCCATTGTGTTTATTGTAGCTTTATATTTACATGCTTAAAACTTCCCTGTGGCCTTACAGCAAAAAAATCTTGTTTAGGCTGCAGCTAATCTGAAATGTAAAAAAGAGGGAGCACAGCACCATCACAATAGCCAAGCTGGAGTGATGAAACATGTTCAAGAGGGGACACGGACATACATACAGACAATCCAAGGGAGAGCTTCCCCTCAAAATCCCGTGTACTGCATGATTTTTTTTTCCATAAATAGTTTGTGAATGAACATTTGGTGAGTACTGTCATGATTGGAGGCGTTTTCTTAGTAAGAGCGGATTGCGGGAGGGACATGGGCGCAGTCCTGTTCGTCCAGAGAGTGGTCGATGACGGGACGGTACTCCAAGGTCACCTGTGATTGGGCAAAGCATTATGCGAATTGTTGTTGAAGTAATCAAAATTATACACTACTCACACACACATACTGTACATCGCAATATACACATCATTCTAATATATTCAGAGGTTGATGTGAGCATTAATTAAAGATGTCAACATAAATTTTGGTGATCATTGATCGCAGTTTTGGCACATTAGGCGGCGTTTAAATTCCTACATTACGGGTTTAGCCTGTCATGTTGCATCCCTGTATGGCACGTGAGAAAGAACCTATTACGTTAGCGTCGGCAATTAAAGAGGCATTCGAACAGTTTAATACAAGATTCCATGGGAGCCATAAAGTCTTTGGAAATCGAAAAAGAATATATTCTTTTCGTTTTCAATTCTAAAGAAGACCATTGCTGAAATGGGTCAAAACTATATGTCTGCCCATCTGCCATATTTCATGTGGATTTAATATGAGATAGAAATTTGGCAAATCATATCGTAAAACTGAGGTAGAATAACATCATCCAATCAAAATAAATAATTCCGTATGAATCCAAGGAGGGAGCATTTTCACAATTTGCCACATCCAATACGGCTGCGGCGTCGACGTACTCAAGAAAGCGTCTTTGTATCTGGAATGTAAATGTTGTCTATGATGATACTTGATTGCGGTTGTTGCAAAAGGCAGCCATTCTAGATGCAATTGGCAGTGCTACGCAAACGTATGGAGCAAAGTAAGTGCTGTCTCGTCAGTAGGGTATTAATTGCATTGGGAATTCCATCTCTACATTTACATCCACACACACAGACATGCACACACGGTACCTTGCCAGTTTTGGGGTCGACATAGGACATTGTGTGTTTCCTCCAGTGCTGGTCGAAGGGCTTTTTCTTTTGACCTTGCAAGGGCTTTGAGTAATCGTACTCATCAATGCGATCCTGTGATCAAAAAGAGAATGAATGTCAGAGGAGGAGGAAGAAGGGTGCCTGCCGCCCCCCCCTCTACTAGAACACAGACCTTGAAGTCCTCTCTGGCATGAGCTCCCCGACTCTCCTTCCTCTGTTCAGCTGAATGAATGGTCTGGACAGCATTCAGCATCAGATTCTGCAGCTCCAGTGTTTCCACCAGGTCCGTGTTCCACACAATGCCTGACGAGGACAACAGTCGCAGTGGAAATTAGAAACTGGAAACAAGAATCTTTCATTCAGGTTCAAACTACAGAAGCAGGGAGGAAGATGGAGCAATGAATTGCAATTGACATGTCACTAAGAATATTAACTTTCCAATCACATACTAGAAAAAGCTCAGTTACATGTCACCCAAAGTCAATCTTCAACACACATGGCTCTTCAGTGACCCCTGTGGTTCGGCACTCGCAAATTCTCTTTTAGGATCCGACTCACTCACCACGCTGCACTGCAATGCACTGCCTCTGCTACATTCACACTGCAGCTTAACTGCAAATTTTGCCCATATGTGAAACAAATCAGATTTTTTTTCACGCAGTGAGAAACAGTACAATTCTGATTTGTTTCCAAATGTGACCTGGGCCTCTTTCGTATGTGGGAAAAAAAATGGTGTGTGTATTCGATGTGTCTGCAGTATCGACAGTCACACGCACACATCCGACCTGTAAGTCATCAAAAGCCCAGTATTTTCAGAGATGAGCACTTTACCCTATTTTGCCGATCCATCCTCCGTCCGTGGCCTGGGCACCCTTCTGTCACCTTCCTCCCCTCCATATTCATATAATAATTTTCCTCCGTCCTCATCCTATTCAAGCGCTTCTGTCCTTACATGTCACCAGTCCGCGTCAACCCCGGCACAACACAGCAAGCTTTCTTGACTGGCTGGATTGAGTTGTTTACAACTGTTTAATTCAACTCCAGTCTCCCAATTTAGAGACACTGCTCCGGATGTCCGCAGGATGATGTTGAGCACGGGTAGGGAACTCCGGTTCCTAGAGAGCCAGATCCTGCCTGTTTTAGATCCCTCCCTATTCCAACACACCTGATTCCAAATGATCAGCTCATCAGCAAGCGCTGTCGAGGCTTGAAACCATCACGAACAATTGAATCTGATCTGTCTGGGGTAGGGAGGGCTCTAAAACAGGCAGGAAATGGCTCTCGAGGAACCGGAGTTCCTTCCCCCTGATGTAGAGGCCTGTCAATCAGGGAAGCCCCACAAAATCCAGAACCTTTACAAACTCCGGGCAAATCTCATCCCTGGCGCTTCACCACCCAAGAGCTTTTAAACCATCTCCGTATCTTCAGCACCAGAAATAGGAGATCCCACTTCAGTCTGTAGACTGTGCTTCCTCAATGGAAGGTGTGTCAGTGGAATTCTTTCAAGTATTCTGATTTGCAGCATCACGAGTCAAGATCAGCAGCGCCTCACCTCAGTGTTAATGGTGCACTGCTTCCCCCTCCTGAGACACCAGATGGTCGACCAGAATTTCGTCACACCCGCCCGAAAGTCGTTTTCTATGGACTCGTCCAACTCCTCCCATGCCCCGAAAGGCACTGACCATCTTATGGTCACACTGCCAATCAAGCACCTCCAACAATGGAGGCATGGAACATGGTCCACTCAGACTCAATGTCCTCTGCCTCTCCCGGCATGTGGGAGAAGTTCTGCTGCAGGTGGAAGTTGTAAATCTTTCCAACAAGGGATTCGGCCAGACGTTCCCACTAAACCCTCACAATACGTTTGGGTCTGCCAGGGCAGACCAGTATCTTCCCCCACCATCAGAACCATCCTGTATCAGTTGACAGCTCTGCCTCTCTCTTCACCAAAACGGGGAGTAATAAGTATGCCCACATTTGCTCAGCGCCTTTCACCGCGGGCAACTCCAGAGTGGAAGAGTGTTGTCCAAATCCTCTTGAGAGGACTGGTACTGAAGCCCGAGCTGTGCGTGGAGGTGAGCCTGACTATAACTAGTCGGAATTTCTCTGCCTTGCACACCCAACTCGAGCTCCTTCCCTGCCAGAGAGGTGACATTTCATGTCCCGAGAGCTAGTTTCCGTAGCCAGGGATCGGACAACCAAGGCCTTTTGCCGCCACCCAGCTCACAAAGCACCCGACCCCTTCGTCCCCTCCCACAGGTGGTGAGCCCATGGGAAGAGAGACTCACATTACCCTTTTGGGCTGTGCCCGGCTGGGCCCCATGGGTGCAGGCTCAGCCACCAGGCACTCGCCAGTGAGCCCCACCTCCAAGCTCCGGCGACCCATGTCTGGGCAAGGGAAAAGAAAGGGGTCTATGAGCCGTGTTTTGTCTTGTCCCTCACTTTGGACCTGTTTGCAATGATGTGACCCTCCCAGGGGCGTAAAGCTCCAGACAACTTAGCTACTCCTCACTGGGACACGCAAACCTGCCACCACAGTAAGGTGATGGCTCCATATAAAAATAAAGCAACGCAGCTGCAGAAGTGATGCGCAATATGATTAGGGAAGACAATGTACACTTGTGCTTTTCTTGAAAAAAGAATGAAGGGCATTTTCGTGTGAATCCAAACATTTGATTGGTAGTGTGCATGAAATATATTGAATATTAATTTTCAACAAAACTTGTTTTACATGAAATCTACCTCTGTCAAAAGTCTTGATATCTTCCATCGTTTGGTAAATTGTATCCAATTTGTCACATCCCTCCTTCAGAACAGAACCGGTACGGAACACGGCAGCATGAGCTTGCATGGCCTGGGTAGAAGTAGAAAAAGGAATTAATTGTACATAGCATGCCTTTGAATGTGTGTGTGTGTGTGTGTGTGTGTGTGTGTGTGTGTGTGTGTGTGTGTGTATTCTTTGTCTGCATACCTTCTGCATGTTGAGCCTTATTTCAGAGGTTCTCATGCTTCCATTGGCAAACCTCATCTTATCAAGGTTGGCCACAGACTCTTCGCCTGCACTGGACTGAAGAGGGGAAAGCGCCTCTCCTGGCGGGTGGGGGAGACAAAACAAAACCACCATGTCAGCACAACGTTAAACTCAACTCAATTCACTTTTAGTTGTAAAACACTGGGAAAAAAATAACCACAACAAAAACAGAGCTGTACATGAATAAAATTCAAACAAAAACGGTATAAGACAATACAACAATTTTGATTAATAAATAAATAAATAAATAAATATATACATACATTCTTCCACAAAAACATTTTGAGATCTGTAAAATATATATATATATATATATATATATATATATATATATATATGACAATAAAATAAGGGCTCTGGGTGTCATACTATGTTGAAGGCTGAATTAGTTTTAGATTAGGTTTTAACATTGAAAAACAAAAGGGCTTGTCTAATGTGCTCCAGGAGGGCGTTCAGTCGTTAGGGAGCGGTAACAGTAAAAGCCCTCCCCTCTCTAAAATTAATAACCCCTTTATATTTTCACAGTCAGTGGCATTCTTTTGAGTATAAATCATGCGAGTCAAGAAAAAAATAACATTGAAAAAGGAAAAATCAGTCATGTTTTGTTTTGGATTTAAAAACAAAATAGCCACTTTCTCGATTTTCAAATTCCAATTGAAAATGGAAAGAGTGAATGAGACATTGGTTCACAATATTTCTTGGGCATAAATACAATGTTAAAAAAAAACATGGTAATAAATGATTTTCTGTAACACATGATTCCTCCCCCACGTCCTCACCAGGTTTGTGCTCCTCAGCGATGGTGAGGGCGCAGGCTCGGCCGAAGACCACCAGGTCCAGAAGAGAGTTGGCGCCCAGTCGGTTGGCACCGTGAACACTTGCACAGGCAGCCTCTCCACAGGCGTACAGTCCGCGAACCACTTTATCCTCGCTGTTAGTGTGAGTGATCACCTGATGGGTGGAAAAGATCCACAATGCTTACAGTTGCAGAAGAGTGGTTTGTGAAAAATGTGACTTACCTGGCCCTTGTAGTTTGTAGGTATGCCTCCCATGTTGTAGTGGACGGTGGGCAGGACGGGGATGGGTTCTTTAGTGACGTCCACTCCGGCAAAGATCATTGCCGTCTCAGAGATGCCGGGCAGCCTCGTGGCGAGCTGCTGAGGAGGCAGGTGGTGTAGCTGCAAATATACGTGGTCCTTCTCTGGACCCACACCCCTGAAGGGACACACACACACACACACACACACACACACACACACACACACACACACACACACAAAATACTTTTTATCAACACTTCCGACATATAACGACTTCTGTGCTCGTAAAAGAACGTTTTTAATATTTCCTCAAGCCTGAATTTAGAGTTGCATGTCGTCAATGCAGGACTATATTGCGCCGCCACATGCTCAACTGCAGTGATTTTCTCCATCTGCATCGACTAGATGTAGATGCAGCCTCATTTAGGGCAAGAAGAGGCCATAAAGGTCCCCGACTTAGCTCCAGTAATAGTCGTCGTTCCCACAGAGCAGAGAGAATATGTCTCGGAGTATTGTGGTATGCTCTGTATGTGTTGCTGCTCCGTGTGTACAGCAGCAACGGTGTGATGAGTTATCATAACATCTATGCTAATTTCAGTTCGCCCTTCTATTGCATTTCGCATTATGTTTGCATTAAGCTCAGACTTTTGTGAGACATTATTTGGTTTGGTGAAATGTTTTGTAGTTGTATGTACAATGTTTAATCTTTTTTTCCTTTTACGTGTCGGCTTTACAGTAAACTTTAACTGGGAGTGACAAAAAGCTTGACACAAGCACACAATGGCTTTTATTTGGAGAACTGCACCAACGAAAGAGTGAGAACAGGCACCAAGAATACTTCAAAAAGTGTGTTTTAATGAAATGTCTTGAAAGATTGTGGGAGAGGTAAAACTTCATAGAAGCTTTAAAAATAAATATCTCTGTCTCTCAATATCACAGATTATCATCTATTCCCCAAAATAAACCGGTCTGTGGCTTTCGCTAAAATAGCAAAATTGCACCAAGCAACATCGACAGGATGCCTTTATAAGCGAACCATTTTCAAGCAACTAACTTTTGAAAAAGTGACATAAACACTGAATATTTCATTGGAAAAAATGGCGCCAAAAGGGTTCAGGAGTGGCAAGCTTCGAGAAGGTGATCACTTACCTGCCCTCTCTGATCTCAATGGTCATGGAGCGAGACACCACGTCTCTCGATGCCAGGTCCTTGGCGTTGGGCGCATAGCGCTCCATGAAGCGCTCGCCCTCACTGTTTATCAGGATGCCTCCCTCGCCACGGCAGCCCTCGGTGATCAGACAACCGGCTCCATAAATCCCTGGAAAGATGCCCATGTAGCAATAACGGTGTGAATTAAACTGCAAATAAGATGTAGCGATGTAACCCTTCTAAATATTGCAGTATTTCCGGAAGAGTGCATCCACTGACACAAGCATTGTTAACAACTTCACTTGTTAAGGTGATGACACGGATAACAATTATTTAGCAAATAAAATAATTCACACATAATCCTGTGTGAATTATTTTAAAATAACTGAAAAGATTTGAGCAATCAGAGATGAGTTTACTTTACATTTGCACTCTTCTCTACATAATTTGTTTCTTTACTATGCTTTTTGTAATACATTTGCTCAAATGCTTGCTATTTAAGACACGGTTAGTATCAAATTGTTCAGTATGAACTCCAGGCAAGGAGAACTCTGAAACAGCAACAAAAATAGGCGGGGCTTTAAGTGAGGAAGGTCTGTTCCTGGAGCTCCATGTAAACCAAGTGTAGAATGAGTACTTGGATGAAAGTCACGAGTTGGGAATATTAGTGACACATAAATAGCAAACTGAAACGTGATTACGACAACCATATAGAATGTGGTCATTAACGGTCGTAATAACGTCTAAAAAGGGGAGAGAATTTTACTATACACAATTAGCCTACAAAATGACTGGAACGACCAACAAATCCATGATGGTGGTGTTTAACTCATATGTGAGTTCTGATGTGATTTGTTTTCTCTTCCTTTTTGAGTCATTTACCAACACACACACACACGCACATGCACGCGCACACGCACGCACGCACACAAAGACACACAAAATACCAGTCTACATAGGACAGCAGGGGTCATGCAATAGCTAATGTGTTGATGTAAAAACAAAAAGTGACACTGAGTTGTATGTTCAATGTGTCTCTTGTCTTCTCACCAGTGGGATGGAACTGTACAAACTCCAAATCCTGGCAGGGCAGTCCTGCTCTGGTCACCATGGCATTTCCATCGCCAGTACTTGTGTGAGCAGATGTGCAGCTGAAATAGGTTCGACCGTAACCCCTGGAAACAGAAATTGTTTGGTTTACACATCACATACAGTGCTATGAAAAAGTATTTGACCCCTTCCTGATTTCCGTGTTCTTTGCATATTTATCACACACAAATGGTTTCAGTTCATCTCACCGATATTATCATCATACGGAGACAATGCAAGGAGAAAAAAAAAAAAAGTATTTACTAAATCCCAATTTATTAAGGCACAAAAAAACCAATCCAAACCTACCTGTGCCAATGTGAATATGTAATTGCGACCTGAACCTATACATGGGTTGTGCCACCCTTGACAGCAAAAACTGAAATCAAGCGTTTGCAAAAATTGGTCATGAGTCTTTCACATTGCCGTGGAGGAATTTTGGCCCACATTTCTTCGCAGTATTGCATCAAGTCCGCCATATTGGTGGGTGTTCTAGCAAGCACTGCCTGCTTAAGGTCACACCACTGCATCTCAATTGGATTCAAATCCGGACTTTGACTTTTTTTTTTTTTTAAAAACATTCAGAGGTGGGCTTGCTGGTGTGTTCCGAATCAATGTCCTGCTTCATGATCCAAGAGCGCTTGGGTTTGAGGATGCAAACTGATTGTCAGACGTTCTCCTTCAGGATTTTCTGGTAGACAGCAGAATTCATTGTCCCATCAATCATCAAAGTGTCCTGGTCCTGAGTTAGCAAAGCAGCCACAGAACATCAGACTGCCACCACCATGCTTCACTCTTGGTATGATGCTCTTTATCAAATGCTGTGCCATTTTTACCCCAGACGTAACGGTGCGCACATCTTCCAAAAAGTTCAATTTCTGACTCATCAGTCCAGAGAATGTTATTCTAAAAGTCCTGAGGACCATCAAGATGTCTTTAGGCAAATGTGAGACGAGCCTTCGTGTTCTTTTTGGACAGCAGGAGTTTTAGCCTGGGAAGTCTCCCATGGATGCCAATTTTGGTCAGTGTCTTTCTTATGCCGGAGTCATGAACGCTGACTTGAACTGAGGCCGGCGAGGCCTGGAGTTCTTTGGGTGTTCTTCTAGGTTCTATTGGGACTTCCTGAATGAGTCGTCGTGGCACTGCTGGAGTAATTTTAGCTGGTCAACCACTCCTGGGAATGCTTCCCACTGTTCCCAGTTTTCTCCATTTGTGGATAATGGCTCGGACAATGGTTTTCTGAAGCCCCAGAGTCTTGGAAATTGATTTTTAACTTTTTCCAGACTCATAGATTTAAATACCGGTAGCCTTATTTCTAATTTCTTCGGATCGAAATTAAACTCAGCTTTCCCAAACTGTTGTTCGTCACAGTTCCTTTGTGATTTAACAAGGGGCACGGGGAAATTACTTTTTCCACATTTGTAGTTTTGGACTTTTTCTGTGCCTTAATAAATTAAGTTGGTATTTCGAAACTGCATTTTTAACTTCCTTGGGTAGTCTCTGTGGGATAGTGCGGATTAATTTTATACAAATTTTCCTCAATTCTGCACGTTTGTGTGTGATAAATATGCCAAGAACACAGAAATCAGGAAGGGGGCAAATACTTTTTCACAGCACTGTACACATTGAAACATAAAAGTACCCAGTTGTTTATGTGTGTTTACCCAGTAGCAATGACAGTATTCTGAGCTCTGAAGCGATGGATAGAGCCATCCTCCATGCAGAGCGCGATCACGCCTTTGCACTCGCCATTTTCCATCAGCAGGTCCAGCGCAAAATACTCTACAAAGTAGCTGGTGTCGTAACGCAGCGACTGAACATAAAACAAAATGAAGACAACGCTCCATGTTCAAGGTGCTCTTATTAAGGTTTGTCCAAATGGTCTTTCTCTCTTCCAAAGTGATAACAGTAAAATGAGTAGCATACCCGCCCATAAAGAGTGTGAAGCAGTGAATGTCCAGTCCTGTCTGCGACACAGCAGCAGCGGTGGGCTTGGCCTCCTTTGCCGTATTTGAGACTCTGACCTCCAAATGCCCTTTGGTAGATCTTACCATCTTCTGTGCGGCTAAAAGGCATGCCAAAGTTCTCCAACTAGGGGAGAGTTAAGGGGATTTAACATCCTGTTTTGGGGTTACCTGATCAAAGGCAGAATCCATCTGAAACTACAAATGCATGGCTTTAGGCCTATCTTCGAGAGAATATCATGAATTTTAATACACAAAGCGTAAGCTTTGTAAAAGTCTATACACCATTTTTCAGATACAAGGATTTTGTTATATAAACTAATTAGACCAAGATCAATACAGACCCTTTCAAAACATTTTTTTACATCATGGAGAAGTAAATTTATTTCCATAATTCGATTCGAAAAGTTAAGATTTCATAGAATATAGATTCAGGGTGCACTATTTAAACGATTTGATTTCATTTTTTTAGTTTCACAAATACTGGGTTTCCAGTTGATAAAACCCACAAAAACAGGAATTCAAAAAATTTGAATACTGTGGAGAAATTAGACCAAACTTTGCAGGGCATGAATGTTGTAAACTGAGTGTCGCATATGTCATCAAATTGCTCCAGTTTAGAGTTAAGGGGATTTAACATCCTGTTTTGGGGTTACCTGATCAAAGGCAGAATCCATCTGAAACTACAAATGCATGGCTTTAGGCCTATCTTCGAGAGAATATCATGAATTTTAATACACAAAGCGTAAGCTTTGTAAAAGTCTATACACCATTTTTCAGATACAAGGATTTTGTTATATAAACTAATTAGACCAAGATCAATACAGACCCTTTCAAAACATTTTTTTACATCATGGAGAAGTAAATTTATTTCCATAATTCGATTCGAAAAGTTAAGATTTCATAGAATATAGATTCAGGGTGCACTATTTAAACGATTTGATTTCATTTTTTTAGTTTCACAAATACTGGGTTTCCAGTTGATAAAACCCACAAAAACAGGAATTCAAAAAATTTGAATACTGTGGAGAAATTAGACCAAACTTTGCAGGGCATGAATGTTGTAAACTGAGTGTCGCATATGTCATCAAATTGCTCCAGTTTGATCCAATTTGGAGAAGACTGCAGACTTGACCATTGGCCAGAAGACCATTGTTGATACACTCCATAGGTCTGGTACCAATTAATCACAAAAAACGAGGGATACTGTACTTTAAATCAAATACATTGTGGTATGATACAATTAACAACAAAATGTCACCAAAAATTTGTATTTTAACGAGATAATCATGAAAACTAAACATAAACGCTTATGAAAAATACTTTCAGGAATAGGGTATGAAAAAAAAAAAAACCTCTCTCATATATCAACCGGTACTGTATATTGATGCATTAATTTAATTAGGGTAAGTAATAAATTTCAATAAATTCATAGTACTTTTTTTTTTTTAATCTACAGTATACATTTAGAATTTTTTTTTTTTAATCTGTGTACCAGTGTCAAACACATAACAATGCTCAGTTTTGATTGACAATGTCAGAGAGATACTATTGAATAATACAACAGGTTTGTTGCAGTTATTTGAATTTAAACGAGTACTGGTCTTTACCTCCACTACAGCTGCGGGAGCCTGCTCTGTCATGTAGTGGATGGCATCCTGGTCCCCGAGCCAATCAGAACCCTTCACAGTGTCGTAGAAATGCCACCTCCAGTCATCATTCTCCATGTTGCCTAGAGCTGCATTGATTCCACCCTAAAAATATAGATTATTCAACTTATTTCACAAATACTGTTAGATTTATCTAAAATTACTTAATATATATAATCTAGGGAGTCATGTTGGATGGAACATTTTAAAATGAGTACTCTACCTGTGCCGCTACAGTGTGAGACCTAGTGGGGAAAAGCTTCGTGACACAGGCAGTGTTAAAGCCAGCCTCAGACAGGCCAAAAGCTGCCCGGAGTCCCGCTCCTCCAGCACCAACCACCACGGCATCAAACTCGTGATCTACAACTGGGTACTGATTGGAGACCTGAAGAGAGCAAGTAAAAGCACTTTAATCTTCAAGGAAAAAAAACAAAAACAACTTAGATGTACACTGCCTTCAGACTGTTTCCAGTGACCCAGAATAGCATCATGATGTTAAATTAAGCAATATATTCCAGCTATTCAGTTGAATTTGTTTGTGTAGATGATCATTTTAACTCACATCATCAGAAACTTTTGCATTTTTCTTGCCATAGATGGAGAAGTGCAAATTCCTCGAACCTTGAACTCCTGTCACAGGGACCTGGCAGCAAAACAGAAAATATTTATTAATTACAAGACTACACAGGAATCAAACATTACAGAAGATATTTCCAACTGAAAAAAAATTGTTGGTAAAAAACCAACATAAAACCTTACTTGCTCTTTTTCATGTGATTGTTCTGCCAACTGCTTGGCCTGAAAGTGTCATTTATCAAACTATTTATTGAAGTATGACTTTATAACTGTGCTGCTCTCCGACGAATGTAAAATATGGGCTACGATGCTGTCGGAAGAATGGAACACCATCCTAAGCTGAGAACGCCATGATTCCTATACTGCAGTGGTGGGCAATGTGCAGCCAAAATTGGTACATCTGACCCGCCAGATGATGTTGAGAGGGCTGGGATTATCATAGAAGTCAAAATAATTACAGTATTTAAAAGCCTTCACATTGTCATGGTCTTGTTTTGGTACAAAATAATGAGCTCCTCTGCTTATAATTTTTGGGGGCATGTTGCTTGGAAGCGCTCCACTTCCATGCTTCAGGTTATGCAGCCAATTGGGTGCTTTTATTCACTATAAAGTGCAGTCAATAGCCCTTTGAAAACCTGAATATTGGCATTACGTATTTGGGTTATAGGCCATGTACACTCTAGCAGAAACCCGAATATGGTTGAAAATGCTCTTACTTGTTTTTTTCAAAACATGAAAATGCTTTTATTAGGTTTTTTTTCAAAATCCGAAAATAACCCAAAAATTACGTATTTGGGTTATAGGCCATGTACACTCTAGCAGAAACCCGAATATGGTTGAAAATGCTCTTACTTGTTTTTTTCAAAACATGAAAATGCTTTTATTAGGTTTTTTTTCAAAATCCGAAAATGCCCTCATTCATTTTTTAAAACACACAAAATTGCTCTCGGAGGCTTTTTTAAAAAAACCCAAATACTCCCATTTGTTTTTGTAAAAACCAAGAAAATGCTCTTCGCAATTTTTTAAAAACCCGAAGAAGACTCCCGGCTTGCCCACTTTCTAACCCGAATATTTGGTCATATAAACACCATCAGGTTCCCTCTATTGAACGGGACATTGGTTTGTGTTCTGGGCATGCCCAGCCGCAAGGAATCTTGGTATTTTGAGTCCAGGAAGTCCTTGTATGCGCGGCAACCCACTTACTCGTCGTATCGTGCTGAACTTGAATACATTGATTTCTCTTCAGCGTTTTCATGTCATTTTCTGTCTTTACGGTGAAAATGACACAATTTATATAGACACATATATGTGTGTATGCAACCATGGCGAAACGCACGCGTTACCATGCATAGTATAGCAGCACACTTTTGGAACTCGACTGCCCTATTCATGTTGTGAGTGACATGAATATAATGCATTTTATTGATTGTAAATGGAACTTAGAACCATTTGCATCACAATGATGTCTGTGCGTCACCATTAAATCAGGATATTCAAATGTGTGAGTAACTCTGTCCGCTCACACATGTAAACGGGTTATTCCGAATCTTTTGGAAACCGGAATTTTGTACTAAACCCGAATATCGACTGCATGTAAACGTAGTCAATGTAATCACATCACAAGAAATACACTTAAGACTGGGTGTCTGGCCAATGAGACACTACTTCAGCGACCAATGTACAATTAAAAGGCAGCCATACATAAATCTTCTGATTAAAAAAAATTAAGAGAATGATTGTGGATTGAATTGAACAGAGATGAAAGTGGACTTTTCTGAAAATTCCGGAAAAAAAAAAAAAATATATATATATATATATATTGGCCGATCACGCATGAATTAGTTTACGCAAAACGCTATTCAAATACTCGACATTCAATGATTAATCTTCCTTTTGTGTGCACACGTGTACCCTTTGTAGCTTCCGTTCGGGCCGAAATTTCGAAATCTCCGAGATATGGCGAGGCCATGAGAATGCGAGGCGAGGGTATTACTGTTGTGGCGACGCCACTCAAACTAAGCGAGCCTCAGCAGTAGATAGTCCGCTGCTCTCTGCTGTGCGTGCTTCAGCGCGAACATGTACGCAAGAGCGTCTTTTGATTTCAACCAATCAGCGTCGACGCAAATGACGTCACACACGACAACAGCTAAGCTAAGTTAGCCGAGACGACACTCGAAGTCGGACGGACACGATTTTCTGCCAATCTGTGTTTTTCCCTTTTTGGCCAAATATATTTTTTACTACAACTGTCTTGTTGACGGCGTCTTTTATTCGTTCCACTGGGGTTTAGCAGGTGTGTTTATAAAGAGACGAAAATTGTTTGGGGACTATCCCCCACATTCTAGTTGAGATGGTATAACCCAAGAGGCAAAACGACGCTTGCTACTGTTGTTGCAAGTTGCCATTCGTTCTACTAAACCATTTGTCAAACGCCATCATGTCTTCTGTCGTTATTACACAAACAAAAATCTCTTTACTCTTACTAGTGTTAGTGCCTCAATATGGCTACGCTCGTGAAAGCAATACAACGAACTCAAACGCGTCTTCGTTCAATGTTGTAAACTAATATCCGGATTAATTTTATACAAATTTTCCTCAATTCTGCAGAGAAATTTTCATAAAAATTTGAAAAACCCGGAATTCCGGGAAAATCCGGAGGACTTTCATCTCTGATTGAAGGGCACATTTTATGAACGCTTTGAACATATTTAGCAGCCTCTGGTCCCACCCGGGGGTACCCTTTTTACTTGGCTGTTTCTATTCTTGTGCTGCCTGGGGAAAAAATACAGTCAAACCTCGCTTTTCGAACGTCTCGGTTCTCGACCAATTCGGTTTTCGACCAAAAATTTCGAGTTTTTTATGCCTCGGATGACGAACAAATTTCGGTTCTCGAACAAACTGAGCGCACTTGAATGCACCACTTGACTCCTCTCGCCTTCCTTACACGAGGAAATGACGCTTCCTCGGATAGACGAGGAAGTGACGCTTCCTCATGATGCTTTCCATTGTGAGCAGACGTGTTCAGTAAACATTTTTATTTTAAAAAGAGCGTGGTTTCGGTTTTCGAACAATTTCGGTTTTCGAACAGCCTTCTGGAACGGATTATGGACGAAAACCGAGGTTTGACTGTAAGTGTTCCTGACTTCTATCTATCCATCCATCCATCCATCCATTTTCTGATCCGCTTTTCCTCACAAGGGTCATGGGGCGTGCTGGAGCCCATCCCAGCTGTCTTCGGGCAGTAGGTGGTGTACACCCTGAACTGGTTGCCAGCGAGTTGCAGGGCACACAGAGACCAACAACCATCCACGCTCACACTCACATCTGGGGACAATTTAGAGGTGTCAATTAACCTACCATGCATGATTTTGGAATGTGGGAGGAAACCTGCATTCCCGTAGAAAACCCACACTGGCACCGGGAGGACATGCAAACTCCACGCAGGAAGGCTGGAGTCGGAATCGAACCCTGCACCTCTGCACTATGAGGCCGACGCGTTCCTGACTTGATTTGAATTTTTTGACATTTGAAATGCACGACTCATTTCTTATTTAAAGTGTTTTAAATAAGAAACGTGCCAAATATTGTCAAATTAGGGAACAGCTCATTACTCAACAGATAATTTTGTTATTTTGAGCATAGCCTGACTATTGCTTCAGCAGTAACAGCGTTTTAGAGTTATACGAATGTAAACATTGGATGAAGGTGGAAAGAAGTGCAGACTAATGTATATTCGAAGATGTCTTTTTGATTTAAAAAAAAACGTGTGGGAAAACGGACTGACCATATCGTGAACATTCCTGCAAAACGGTGAGGCTTAATGCAATGTTTGGAAAAAAAAGGCTACGTTGCTGACCCCTGCTGTAATGCATCTAGATGAGTCTTACAGTCGCTCAAAACAAAGTCAGATTTCGAAGAACTACAACACAGTTTACAGAATTATGATGTACGTTACATCTACATACACCTCTCAACTAATAATAGGTCTCCACACAATGTTTTTGGTATGTAGTGGATCTAAACTTTTTAAGTAATGCTAAGTAAACAACTAAGCTAACAACAAACGCTACAATCATTCCCACAAGGACAACGAAGTAAACAGGTTCGTGTCATTTAGGAGAATAAGTCCTGGTCAGACATAACTGAAATACAAACATACGTGAATGGTCTGAAAGTAACGGTAACAGAACATACGCTTTGTTGGCCTTTCAAAAGCCTACTTTCACTGCAGAGCTAGTGTCACATTGAAGCAGCCCTTTGCTACATAACGCAGGTTATGCAAGTCAGACGTCTACCAGTTACGAAAGCAATGCAGCTACAGACATTGTGATTCGTCGTGTGGCAAAAAAAACTATATTAATTTGCTACTTGGCACAGAAGGTAAAGAAATATCCTAAACGCAGTAGTACTCACGGCTTTCCTGCAGTAAAGTAACTTCTTTGAGAGGAGGCGAGAAGCAGCTTGAACACCAGCCATGTTTTCAATCAGAGGAGCGGAGCCGACACTTCTGAGCGAAGGTGGAGACTGATTTATTCCGTGGCACTGGAATATTCCACCGTCTGGTAAACAGGGGCAACATGAGATCTAAGATATTATTGCAACAATTTTTTAGCTTTTTCAGCAGCCCATTTTACTATATAACTACGTTAAGGCGTAATTTAAGTAAAACACTCTTGTACATGTGCTCATTATGTCACGGAATGGAAAATGTTTCACAACATTAATCTACTGCACCCCCCGTTGACGTAGACAGACCGTTAACGCGTTCAAATTGTATAACCTGGGTGATGGTGCAGTAACAAATGTTTTTAAGTGACCTAGACTTTCTTTGAAGGTGAGACGCAACACCACAGTACCGTACCTTAAAACAGACAAACGTTGAGTGGCTGGATTCACAAAGCCCCGTTGGATGCATTTATGAAATACACAAACGTGCATGAAGGGCGTACGATAACATGTTAGCTAGCTTTTACTTAGCCTTGTTTGTGATTAGCTGGGCTGTCAACCTGCAAGCATGGGGCAAATGGTGTGCCGTTTTGTCTCAATATCACCCTTTATTCCGACATTTGAATGTCTTAAGTTTGTTTACCAGTGATTTGGATTTATCACCAAATGTAGTTTTCGAATGTGTAATGACTTTGTAGTTATAGCTGGATGATTATGAGAATACAAATTGTGACGATTACTTTTGATTGAGATTGAAATCACGATTATTAAAACGAGTGTTCATTCACTAAAATTAAACTACTACAAACATAGCCTCATCCCAATTCATCCCTGCACGTTGAACTGTTTATTCTGGACCACTATTCTTTTTGTAAAGTGTCCTCATAAATATCATGTCAAAGTCAAGCGTCTTGCATTTTCATTCTGCTACGTTCACACCCTTGATGCCTTGAGTATTTCCATTCATATAAGCCTTGAAAAAGCAGTATCCTGTTCTCTTTATCAATTCGATGCAAATGTTCTTTCCCGTTAAAGCTTTTGAAAGGGATCCCATATTTACTTTGGCTTTAGCGCAAGCAGATGTTTTAAAAACGAAACATGTTTTGCATTTCAATATATTCAATGTTTGTTATTCTTTTTGCTGCGTGTTCAGTTTTACACTAAAGTCCAACTAGGGCGTCAATAAGAGCTTAAAGCACCCTCAGGATGGCAGAATCGTATACCCTACCACCGGTGTCAAACCCGTCCTTGGGGGGGGGGGCGTTACCCTGCATGTTTGAGATGTTTCGCTCCTCCAACACACCTGATTCAAATCCTGATCATTTGACACCTGTACACACTTGCTCCACACGCAACATGGTACATTCAGGGTATTTCCCTGAATGTAACGCCATTCTGCACATTAATCTTTTTTTCTTTGATTATAAGCCAAAATCAAAATAACAATTTGAGTTTAGATGAATCGTCTGGCGGCCTAGAGAACACGATGTCCACAATTACCCCTCAAAAATTGAAATGTGGACTCGTCAAACCACAGAACACTTTTCGATCAGCCCATTTTAGATGAACTTGGACTGAGAGAACCCGGCGGCGTTTCTGAGTGTTGTTGAGAAATGCCTTTTGGTTTGTGTAGTAGAGTTTTTGCAGGTGTAGCGACGGACTTTATAGACTGACATTGTTTTTCGGAAGCATTCCTGAGCCCATGTGGCGATATCCTTTACGTATGGATGTCAGTTTTTGATGCGGTGCCGCCTAAGGGATGGAAGGTCACGGTATTCATTGTTGGTTTTCAACTTGGCCGTTTACATGTAGTGATTTTTCCAAATTACGGACCAAAGATGAACACAAATGCACGCTGATGAGCATTGTCCTTTATTTGTTCGACTAATTTCTCATGCAGTTGCTCCCAAAGAGGTGAACCTTGCCCGATCTTTGCTTGTGCATGACTGAGCTTATTTTTTACCTAATCATGGCATCCACCTTTTCCCAGTTATCCTCTTCAACCTGTGGGATGTTCCAAACAGGTGTTTGATGAACATTCCTCAACTTTCTAAGTCTTTTTTGCCTGTCCCAGCTTTTTTGGAACATATTGCAGCCATAAATTTGTAAGTTCTGAGTCACTAATCGTTTACTAAAAACAATACAGTTTATCTGTGTTAACATGAAATATCTTGTCTTTGTAGATTAAATTAAATGTAGGCTGAACATGATTTGCAAATTACTGTATTCTGTTTTTATTCATGTATAACACAACGTCCAAACTTCATTGGAATTGGGTTTGTACAAAGTACCTGAAACTTGAAAAGAATCCCATAGTATGTTTTGATTTGTTTGTGTGGTGTGACAGCAGCCTCCATGAACAACCTGAATGACCCCCCGAGATGGAACATTCAACCAGACCCACGAGAAAGGGGGGAGGGAGGCGCAGATGGCAACCAATGGAACTATGCCCTGCTGGTGCCTATGCTGGGTCTGGCTGCATTTCGTAAGTTACTTTAAGTGTTTAATGTTAGACTGCCAGATAAGACTGTTGGAATGGAAATGCCTGACAGATTCTTAACTGCCATACAAGTGTAAAATGTTCAGCACTGTTTCACAATGAGAATCGTTTTTCAATTGCCCTATTACAAAAATGACAGCCGCATCACGGTTATTATAGTTAACAAAAACTAACAAAATAACTACAACTAAATGAGGGAAAAAACATTTTCATTATTGAAATAAAATAAAAACAAAAACCAACTGAAACTACATCTTACATTTTTAAGACTAACTAAAACTAATTATAATTATAGCTAAAATGTCCTCTGTCCTGTGATTGGCTGGAAACCAGTTCGGAGTGTACCCTAAGACAGCTGGGATAGGCTTCAACACAACCGCCACCCTCATGATGATAAGCAGATCAGATAATGGATGGGTCAATGTCCTTCGTTTTTGTCTTTTTCAATTAATATCAAACATGAGTTTTCCAGGTTCATTTTAAATGTATTGTTTGAGGACTGTAGTTTACTTAATTACACAATACCTAGTGACATTTCTCTTATCTAGCACTCTAACAAATACTCTGCATTACAAAATTCCTCTACTAATATTTAAACTACCATATTGGCCCGGATATAAGACGGCCCTGATTATAAGACGACCCCCTCCTTTTCAAGACTCAAGTTTGAAAAAAGACTTTTTTAACAGCAAATAAAATTTTATACAGAAAATAATTACAGTACATCTGAAACAAATTATTATAACAATATATTTGAGAGAAAAAGCATTCAAATCTTAATATCTGAACATTTAAATATGTAAACTAAAGTGCAATCACATTCGTAAATGAATGGCTTCTGGTTTTTGAAATGTAAATGACATCATAACTTCTCCTCAGCTGCCGGTTAACCTGGCCGATCTTCGATCTTCGACCCACTTTTCTCCAGATTGTCGCTACGTTTCTCCATTTTCTGTTATCTCTTCTATTATTTTCTTCTCTTTTCTTTCTGACCACTATTTTTTATTTTCTTCTTCGTGCTACCGCTATTTTTATTTTTATTCTTCATGACAGGAGTTCACTTTGGTCTGGGGAGTCGAGTCCAGCATTCGCTTCAATGATATCTGGCGCCATCTAGCGTCGTGAATGGGTATAATGTCTAGACCTCGAATATAAGACGACCCCCACTTTTTCAGTCTTATTTCAATGCAAAAAACACCGTCTCATATTCGGGCCAATACGGTACTGTGTAAGCCTACCACCAATTTCCTCAGCAGGGATGAAAGCAAAATGTCATCTCAAACAACATCTCGTCTTCCCTCAAGTGGACAATTAAATGCATGGCTTTTGTAACACATGCTATAGTCATCATTTGAGGGACTACAATCGTTAATTTGTCTCCTTCGAGTATCCGAGGCAGGAAGATGGCGGCGAAGCATCGCAGCCTCCTGATGGGGAGGCGAGCCCTATGTAATGTAATTGTTGATTACTTCACCTACAGTTATTTAAAAAAAAAAAAAAAAAATTAAAAAGTGAATGTGATATCCAATAAAAAAATCTATTATTGATATTAATAAAAATCAAATTTTACACATGGTCCCTTTATCAGTCTGATTGTGGGAAATTTGTAACAGTTTCAAGAAATCTTTTCCATTACTTTTGATTCATGTTTAGGTTGATTTGTTTTGCAATCATGTATTTTGCTGATAGTATTTACTGCCTGTTTCTTCTGCATGTTTTCGGAATGTGGGAGGAAACCGGAGTACCCGGAGAAAACCCATTCTAGATAATTCTGATTCATATTCTGATTTATTTGTTGAAAAAAACCCTGCACAAAATACATTTTCTCTGTCCTATTTTAGATCGTTTGAGCAATTTACGTCACTGAAACAGTTCTTAATCTTAAAATGAGGGAAAAGATGCTTTAAAATCAAGATGTTAAAACACTTGTTGTCTTGTCAGGTTGGATCTGGACCCGAGAGTCTCAGAGAGAAATCGAGAAGGTCAAATCCAAGTATAACAAGGATGTGTTCCTGGTGAAAAGTGAGATGGAGTCACGGTACGAGGAGACATTAACAGAGAGGCGCCGAGCCGTGGCTGCCTTGGAACTGGAGCTGGAGAAGGAGAGACAGAGGGTAAAAGGCTTCAAGCAGGCCATGATCTCCCAGAGCCATCATATGGTCGAAGAACGGAAACGTTTACAGCAGGTAATCTCTACTTTTCAGGGTTCCCGGTCATTGTGGAAAACCTGAAAAACCTGGAAAATGATTGGCCAATTTTGCAGTCATGGAAAACAATGGGCAAATAAGAAAAAAAGTCAATTCTCCTGGAAAAGTGTGTGTTGTACTGGAATATAATTTCGCCTCCTTTTAGTTCAAGAGGGTTATTGCTGCGCTGTATATTGCGTTTGAGGTTTTTCTTCCTCTCTGTCTCCTCTGTTGAGTGACAGTGAGCTGTAGTCGGGGGCGTGCCATCACTTTTGGCTGTTTGCTCTGAGATGAAATTCATCTCTGGTTTCAGTAAGGCCGCACGACGAATCACAATGACAATAGTGTTGAGATTGCAATGTGTACCGAGTCCTGTATTTTCTGCACTATAAGGCGCTTCACATTTATAAATTATTTTTGGGGGTGAACATTTTAATTTAAATGCCACTGCTTTGTTTTTTATGACCTCTTTGCACAGCAGAATGTCATTTGATTTTGATATTTATGTATTGTTTTGTTTTTGCAGCAACTTTGATTTTTACTTTCAGAATGAATGTGTCAGATGCACACAATTGTTTTGGTGATTTGTTGAACTTAAAAATATTTTGGAGAGACAGTTAGTGATGGCCAAATGAAGCCTCATGAAGCAGTGAAGCTTTGCAGCCAATTTTTTTGCACACGTAGCAAAGCTTCATGGTGCTTCATTTACTCTATGGCGCCATCAAGTGGTCTCAAAGCCCAAGAGGTCAACAGTGTTAAGAATTCAATGGCTATTTGCTGAAGACAAAGATATGAATGTGCTTGTGTTAGTAATTTAGTATGTGAACAAAATACAAGTGCTAAAGATAATTTGTTATTCATTTTTATTTAGAAATAATAGCTTTCCCACAGTGGCTGGCTTTAAACGGTTTCTTTTTTTGGACAATATTTCCCCAGCTTTCGAAAATATTCTTTCACAAGGCACAGATGAAGCTGGGGTGCAGAGAAATGCGAGTGCCAGTTTATATAAATTTGGGTAGGTATGTAAATTTCCCCAGTGTGGGACAAATAAAGGATATCTTATGGCCCAGTTTCATGGTTCTATAATGCCTCAACATAGACGAGGTGTTATTGTTGTATACAAGTTCCCTTGCACACAACAGACACTTCACCTGTGAAATAACAACAGTTAGACACAAGAACAAGCGAAAAGCCGCATTGTCACGTTTATATTAATGTAGTTTTTCTCCCTTACCTTATTGGAAGCAATCAAATCAAAATGTTCCCATATAGGGGAGGATCGCCTTTTTCGCGCAGGTTCCATGCAAGCAACAGACAAGGCTCGAAAAAAGATTGCACTAGTTGCACTGTTGCGCACAGGTTTAACAAGTACAGGAGCCCGAAATCCACAAAATGTGAGATTACAGGCAATCGCCATTGCGTTTTGCAGCCTATTTATACCGTAGTCTGTGCTGTGTTTGCAATGCGCACCAAACGTCAGACCACTCACAAAGTGTCCATGTGATTCAGCCGGCCGGCGAGGCTTCACACGTCATCATTTCCGGGTTTTGCCAAAATGACGCGCGCCTCGATACAAGCTTCGTGGAAACGCCCCTCCCATTACTCGACACAAGCTTCGGAGCCTCGGCCGATTTCGTCCCATCACTAGAGACAGTACAAGGAAGAGGGCGAAAAATAAATGAAGCAATCTGTGACGTTCATGAAAATGTCATTTTATGACTGGCTCTTTTAGGATGAATGTAGAGAATTGATTTGCATCTGAGCGAGAGCTCTTTGTTTTTTTATTTTTTTGTTTAGTTTTTTTTTTTTTTTTTTTAGCAAATTAGGTATGGTGTTAACATTGAAGCAGTCTGGTTATATGTACAAAATAGACACTTCTGCAAAGCTTGGGGTGGAATTTATGTGTACTGTATGTTGGGACTCGACTAATTACTGTAGCGGCTGAGAAGTAAAAGAGTGGGAACCCTGTTTTACTTTCAGACTCTATGTGTATGTCCACTGACAGAAGCGGACCTGTTGAATTCAATGGCACAAAACCATTGTGTGTGTGTGTGTGTGTGTGTGTGTGTGTGTGTGTGTGTGTGTGTGTGTGTGTGTGTGTGTGTGTCACTCATACATCAAACAATCTGTCATCTTCTCCACCAGGAGCGTGAGTGGTTGGAGGAAGAGAAGCAAAGATATATCAAGTCCGGAGCTGGAGGGGCTGTCCTGCATCAAGCCATGGAGCAACAGAACGAGTGGTTTCAGAGAGCCAACGCCACTCTGCGTGAGCTTGAGGCTCAACTTGTGGAGCGCCAGAATGCCTACTGTTCCCTAATCCTGCCTCGAGACAAGCGCTTAGAGATGGAGAGAAACATGCTCCTGAAAGCAGTCAAAGAGCCTGTCACGGATGAACTTAATCTAGAGGCTGATCTTCAAGATATTTTTAAGAGGGATAAGCATTGTGCAAACCTGATGAACATGGACAAGAGAAAGAACGGAAGTCTCATGTGGGTGTATCTCAAGTACTGGCAGCTGCAGGTCACTGTTCAGAAACACCAGAGAATTGAGGCGGCCATCTTAGCGAGAAATATTAAGCCTCAAACAAAATGATGAATAGTTGGGGCGATGGTTTGTGTTTGACTCGTGGATCAGAAATGGAATATGCACGAAGTTGTGACCTTTTGTCACATTTTAAAAAATGCTGCAGATTAGTTCTTACTTAAGATATCCAAATAAGACTTTTTAAAATCATGAGATACAAATGCACATAGATGATATCCACATTGGATACGCAATCAAAGCTTAGAATATAAACAAACATGTTCTTTTGATTTTTTTTTTCACGGTTTGTGTCATTTAACTTTCCAGGAAATCTAACGTTAATTTACTAAATCTTTATCCTCATCGTCATGAGACATGCACTTGATTGTCAACGTTTAGTTTCATGCTGCTTGATTGAAAGTTATTTTATCTTGAAATTCCGTGGATTGTGTCGATACTTGCTCCTATCCGACTCCCAAGTCTTCAAGTTCATCCCTGATAAGATGTCACATAAGGTGACTCCTCTATTTGATCAATTGAACAAATATCAGAAGAGGGCACCGAGAGGTCTTTGGTGATCACACGATTGCTGAAGTACCACTTGACCCTATATACGAAGAAAATGTTAAGTTTGAATTTTCTTATGTCAATATGACAATCATGTTTTAATTTTTACCATATCCTTGAGAATAAGAGCTCAATTTTATGTTTAGATGCATAGACCGTAAACAATCTACATTTTGCACACAATAAAGCCTTGGTGCAGGAGTTGGGTGCACGTTCTGTGTTCTTCCTATTAAGTATGAAAACTTGTCAAGAGTTGAGGGGGAGCTCCCATGCTACTGGTTTGCCTGAGTGTAATAGAACGGTGTGAAAAAGTGTTTTCCCCCTTCCTGATTTTTTTTTTTTTTGGTTGTCACACTTAAATGTTTCAGATCATCAAATTTAAATATTAGTAAAATATAACACAAATAAACACAAAATGCAGTTTTAAAATTAAAGTTTTTATTATTAAATGGAAAACTAAATCCAAACCTACATGGCCCTGTGTGAAAAAGTTTTTGCCCCTTCTGTTAAAACATAACTGCTTTATCATACCTGAGTTCAAATTTTCTCGCCACACCAAAGCTTGATTACTGCCACACTGTTCTCAATCAAGAAATCACTTAAATAGGACCTGCCTGACAACATAAAGTAGACCAAAAGATCCTCAAAAGCTAGACATGCTCCTATCCGACTCCCAAGTCTTCAAGTTCATCCCTGATAAGATGTCACATAAGGTGACTCCTCTATTTGATCAATTGAACAAATATCAGAAGAGGGCACCGAGAGGTCTTTGGTGATCACACGATTGCTGAAGTACCACTTGACCCTATATACGAAGAAAATGTTAAGTTTGAATTTTCTTATGTCAATATGACAATCATGTTTTAATTTTTACCATATCCTTGAGAATAAGAGCTCAATTTTATGTTTAGATGCATAGACCGTAAACAATCTACATTTTGCACACAATAAAGCCTTGGTGCAGGAGTTGGGTGCACGTTCTGTGTTCTTCCTATTAAGTATGAAAACTTGTCAAGAGTTGAGGGGGAGCTCCCATGCTACTGGTTTGCCTGAGTGTAATAGAACGGTGTGAAAAAGTGTTTTCCCCCTTCCTGATTTTTTTTTTTTTTGGTTGTCACACTTAAATGTTTCAGATCATCAAATTTAAATATTAGTAAAATATAACACAAATAAACACAAAATGCAGTTTTAAAATTAAAGTTTTTATTATTAAATGGAAAACTAAATCCAAACCTACATGGCCCTGTGTGAAAAAGTTTTTGCCCCTTCTGTTAAAACATAACTGCTTTATCATACCTGAGTTCAAATTTTCTCGCCACACCAAAGCTTGATTACTGCCACACTGTTCTCAATCAAGAAATCACTTAAATAGGACCTGCCTGACAACATAAAGTAGACCAAAAGATCCTCAAAAGCTAGACATCATGCTGTAATCAAAAGAAATTCAGGAACAAATGAGAACGAAAGTAATTGAGATCTATCAGTCTGGAAAAGCTTTACAAAGCCAATTCTAAAGCTTTGGGACTCCTGCGAATCACAGTGAGAGCCATTATCCACAAATGGTGAAAACACGCAACAGTGGTGAACCTTCCCAGGAGTGGCCAACCGAGTGAAATTACCCTACAAGCGCAGCGACGACTCATCCAAGAGGTCACAAAAGACCCCATAACAGCCAAAGAACTGCAGACCTCTATTGCCTCACTTAAGATCAGTGTTCATGACTCCACCATAAGAAAGAGATTGGGCAAAAACGGCCTGCATGGCAGAGTTCCAAGATGAAAACCACTACTGAGCCAAAAAGACATTAAGGCTCGTCTCACTTTTGCCCAAAAAAAAAAAAAAAACATCTTGATGATCCCCAAGACATTTGGGAAAATACTCTGGATTGACGAGACAAACGAACTTTTCGGAAGGTGTGTGTGTCCCGTTACATCTGGCGTAAGGGTAACACCGTATTTCAGAAAAAGAACATCATGCCAAGAGTAAAATATGGTGGTGGTAGTGTGATGGGCTGGGCCTGTTTTGCTACTTCAGGACCTGGAAGACTTGCTGTGATAAATGGAACCATGAATTCTCACTTTTGCCCCAAAACATCGTTGATCCCACAGACTTTTGGGAAAATACTGTGTGGACTGACGAGACAAAAATTGAACTTTTTGGAAGGTGTGTGTCCCGTTACGTCTGGCGTAAGAGTAACACCGTATTTCAGAAAAAGAACATCATACCAAGAGTAAAATATGGTGGTGGTAGTGTGATGGGCTGGGGCTGCTTTGCTACTTCAGACTTGCTGTGATAAATGGAATCATGAATTCTACTGTCTACCAAAAAAATCCTGAAGGAGAATGTCAGGCCATCTGTTCGTGACCTCAAGCTGAAGTGAACTTGGGTTCTGCAGGACAATCATCCAAAACACACCAGCAAGTCCACCTCAGAATGACTGAAGAAAAACAAAATGAGGACTTTGGAGTGGCCTAGTCAAAGTCCTGATCTAAATCTTATTTAGATGCTGTGGCATGCCCTTAAAAAGGTGGTTCATGCTTGAAAGCCCTCTAGTGTTGGTAAATTACAACAATTCTGCAAAGATGAGTGGGCCAAAATTCCCCAAGCCAAAATAAATGCTTGACTGTAGTTGTTGCTGCTAAGGGTGGACCAACCAGTTATTAGGTTCAGGGGGCAATTACTTTTTCACAGAGGGTTAGAAAGGTTTGGGGTTTTTTTGTGCCTTAATAAATTGAATTGTCATTTGAAAACTGCATTTTGTGTTTACTTGTGTTATCTTTGGCCAATATTTTAATTTGTTTGATGATCTGATACATTTAAGTTGCACAAATGTAAAAAAAATAAGAAATCGGGAAGGGGGCAAATACTTTTTCACACCACTGTACATGAGCATGGAAGTATATGTGGTATAGTGTGCATCATGACGCACAAATTTACAAATTTTTTTTTTTGGTCCACTTGCACACACAATCGGGTGTATGGAACAAGGGGGTTTTGCGCCACAGGTAAGCACTCCCAAATTTTCAAAAGTTATGACTTGATCAGTTAATCAAACACTGCATTACAATGTCAACATAAAATACTTCTACTTGCTCCACTTTGTAAGAAATCTGTTAGATGTAAAATGTAAAACGGTTCATCTTGGCTCAGGCCCTCCTCTATGACGTGTGCTTGTTTTCCTTTTGCTTGTGTAGGCGCACACGTTCCAAAAACATGCATGTTCAGTAAAAGTGCGGCTGCAAAATAGTCCATAAACATGTGACTTTGTTCACATATTTCCTGCGACCACTCCAAGTTGTACCTGTCAGCAAGGTTATGCTCCAACTCCCCCCGTGACCATAATAAAATACAATATTGAAAACGGATGATCCAATGACATGCTATTGTTGCTTTTTTTCCCACCACATTATGGATTTATTACCAAACAAAACATTTTTCAATTTCAGTTTTTGCTTTGCACATATACACTAGAATAAACAACCCAAATGCTGCTCATGGCCTGTGCCTCCAGAAAGAGATCAAGCCACAATTAATATAGACAGCAGATGATAGCACATCAGTCAGTGTGCATTAAAACAAAAAGGTGTGTACTACATGCAGCCGGACTACACGAGCATTAGTGGCCGAACCAGGAGGGCCGCTTCCTGGGCATCTCCACTATCCTCTTGCCTTGGTCCGCCTCACTAGGCTTCTCATCCGCATACACCACAACGGTCTCCACACTTGGGGCCCCCAGAGGACCGCCCTCCATCGCTTGAATTTGATTGCGAATCCGAGCAGTCTCTTTGCACACTTTAGCATAACAGAAGCCACACAGGATGTGTTTCTGCTTGAGGTGGCCGCACTCTGGACATGGCTCGATGTTCAGCTAAAGGAGAAGTGAATGAGGTAAAGAATATATTAAAAAAAAGAAATGTCAGGGACACATTTACTGGAGACTCACACTGGACACCTAAACAATCTAATGACAACAAGAGCTGCATCTAAAATGATGTATTTACAGATATGACACTGAAAAGTTTGCATTGACAGTGGCAACGGCATATTAGCACTACAAGGCTTAAAATAAGCAGCTTTGTATCACAGTTTGTAAGTCAAAAATCACATTTATGCCTCAATCAAAAACATTGAGATGCAAAACTGCGACTGTGAGCTGCCAAATGTTCGGGAAATCACTGAACGCTAACTCATTACACACATCCATGTGTCATGGAATTCACATTAGTTCTTGTGGCGAATAGCTACTTTCTTTATCAATGCACAAGCCCCTAATCACACTTTAGGTCTGTCAGTCGGCTTGTAACATCAGTGGCTCAGTGCAGGACCATAGCCAGTCATGACAGGTCAAGCTTGCCTACAGTTTATCACTAAAAGAGTTTTAATATGAACGATTCTTAACAACTAAAAAACTGTGAATTTGAGAAAATCTTTCTATTTCCTGAGATAGATATTTTTTTAGGTTGCTGAAGAACCCCAAAAGAGATTCCTAGCACTTCCAGAGGTCTTTTTGGGAGTGATAAGCAACCCCCAAGCCCCTGACGGACTATTCACAGCATTCAACGGCCCCACCTTGACGCTAACCATTCCATATAAAATTACCCCATACCCTCTGGTCTTTGGAGCACCCATTGACCTCTCTGTAGCACCCGAAAACTCTGATCCTAGAATCGCCTCTCGCTGCAGCGCTACATTCAACCTCCCTGTTATATTGTCATATTTTTATTGGTTAATAAAACCCTTGCTTCAAGTCCTCAGGATGAAATGACAAAAATGGCTCCACAAATTAGTAAACTGCGCATCAAATGAAGTAACTGATTAGCAAAATTGCTCCTTGAATCAGATAGGGAAATTAATATTTACTTACAAAAAATGCATTATTGTTAGATAAGCTCCTAAATCAGCCTCAGTTCTGCGTCTGTATTTTAGTCTTAGCTGCGGCTTTCTTAGCTTTGGTTTGCATGATCTCTCAGTGCTTCCTCCCAAGTTCCAAAAATGTGACAATTACTTTAATTGAACATTTAAACTGTCTATGGGTGTGAATGGTTGCCTGTAAACGTGCCCTTCAAATTCAGTGTGTGCCTCCCACTCAGTCGGGTATGACCAGCTCACCTGCAACCTTAATGAGGCCAGGCAGTACAGTATATGAAGTGGATGGTAACATGTAAAAGTAAAGTAACATGCTATGTGTGGGCCAAACAGAAAAACAGTGGCTGCCAATGCACTGTAGTGTGATGTGTGACTTGTATGACTGCTGACATTTCCAACACAAATGTTTGTTTTAAAAGTGACACGGAATTCGGCATAAGAAATGGGCTGCTACTTCTGGTGTACCTTGACTTTGACAAGTTTGGGCTCAGCCCTCCTTCTTGTTCGGTTGACCTCAATGGTGCGTCTCTTCTTGGGTGCTGCCATCCACAAGATGCTGTCGAGAACGCCGGGAGGTCGTTCCAGCCACTGCCCATCTTTCTGTTGCTGCTCATCGATAAAAGGGAGCGGACTGGAGCCATTAACTGCCAGGGCTGGAACTGCACAGAGACAATCGCATTATTTCCCGGCCGTACATTTGTAAAACAACTGTTCAAACATTTGACGGCATCAATTCAGATTAATCTTGGCAAGTTGCTATATCACGAGGTGAACTCACCCAACTGACTTTCTATTCCGGCCGCCCACAGAAGCCTGCTTTCGATGTGTAGCAAGGAACATCTTAAACTATTCAACAATGCAGCCAAATTCATGGTATCTCGCACGTTATATTCCTTCAAAACATGTCAAACGGTCACGGTCATTTATACATTCGTCATCAAAGAGCGACAAGTTATTTCTTCTTCTTTTTCATTTGACCACACATGGCGAGGGTTGTTGCCGCCTAGCGGTCGATTCTTCACTAATGTTTTGTGTTTAAAAACATTTCATGGCTTGAATAATTTGTCTTTTGATGTATTTCGGTTTATGATTTAAAACACATACATACACACACATACACACAACACACACATGCTCAAGTGCTCTCATTTTCGGGTTTCAATTCAACGCACGATTTGTTGTATTATGACATTTACAGCGATTTTGTCTAGGGGGCAGTGTTCTCAATTTAATATTAGCCAAACTCAACAGAAAAAGAAAATGGCGGAGCGTGGCTACAGTTTCTCTTTGACCACATTTAGGTAAACTTTATAAAATTGCCGTTAAATCACAGGTATCCGATAAACACGTGGTTTCCAATAATCGTTGAATCGTGATAGGTTAAAATATACTTGCCCTCTTAAATGTTTGTATCATTTTAGTGTCTGGTGTTGTCTCTGCACTGTCATTGCCTGAAGTGCAATGAATCAGCTACAAACATGATTAGCGCGTTGCTAACCATTTTACATGCGAGAGTTTTAAATGTGATGCAGGTCAATCCAGTTTGAATGTTGACAGGTTAAATGAGGTAGTTTTACCTACCAGTCTCCAAGATTATATTGCGACTGGTTAGTTTGGATCAACGAAACATTTTGAATTTGGTTTCATTTGTAGACTGTCGCCAAATGTGTTGGCGGTTTGCATCAGTCTTTGACTCCCAAGTTTAACCTTCCTCCTCCATGATAATTTTAATGCACCGTCACCTTGTCTTTTCACAGCCCTTCTGGTAAACTGGTGCAGATTGAATATGCACTGGCTGCGGTAGCTGCTGGAGCCCCATCAGTTGGCATTAAAGGTAACCATTTCCCAGTGTTTCCCCAATTTTGATGTTCATTGTTCTGGTATGTACGATTAATTTGTGTTACTGGAACACGTTTTATAAAACTACTTGGATCTTTTAAGCTATTTTAATGAGTGAAGTGTGGTTCCTTTTGATTCCCAGGTTATCTTTCATAGCGAATTGAATTGACATTCCCGTTTTCACTAGGTGCATGAACGTTAAAATTAGTTATTTTGGTTGATTTGGTATTTCTAAAATAGACGAGTCATTTTCCTTCTAATCTTCAGATACCACATTTTTTATAATACATACATTACTGGATACAGGTGAAAGTAGTAAAGAAACTCCAATTTGTGAATGCGTTGGGTGGGCTAATGGGTTTCTGACTTTTTCCAGCTTCCAATGGGGTCGTCCTGGCAACAGAAAAGAAACAGAAATCTATTCTGTATGATGAACAGAGTGTTCACAAAGTAGAGGCCATCACTAAGCACATAGGCATGGTGTATAGCGGCATGGGGCCTGACTACAGGTGGGGATTTTCAACATATTCGACCGCAAATTGAGAAGTTTTTTTAATGTCAAATGTTATTCCTGTTATTTAGTGTCTAAACAAAAGTTTAATAAATTTTGTACTTTGTAGGGTTTTGGTCAGACGAGCCAGGAAGCTGGCACAACAGTACTTCCTTGTTTACCAAGAACCAATCCCCACAGGCCAGCTTGTCCAGCGAGTGGCATCTGTAATGCAAGAGTACACACAGTCTGGGTGGGTAATGCTTACACTTAACATTGACCATTACCTATTTTAAGATGTTAACATTGACCAACGACTGTAGTTTTCAGTGGGTGATACTTGAGCTCTGATCAGACCAAACCCATAATGTCGGCATTGCCCTGCGTCTTTTGTGCTTTTCTTCGCGAGGGTGACCACATTGGGTTTGCTTCAAGCGGGGAGGAGGAGCTCCTCCAACAGAAAAAAAAAGTTTGCTCGCTAGTCAATCTGGTGGTTGTGTTTGTTCCTAAATGCTGTCTTAGTTGACAGTTCAAGAGCTGTAAACAAGTCAATCCATTCACCAGATATGCCAACTTCTCTGCTCTCTGTTCATCAAGCCTTCTTATTTTTGCCTCAGTCGCTGCTGGTAAAGCGGACTGTGTTTGTTGTAGGGCTTGGCGATATATCGTTATCGTATCAAAATCCAGAAGAACATTCAGATATTAACATCGAAATTAGAACAATATCAGTCACCGTCCATGACTTTACAATGCTTGTGTTGCATATAAAGTCCAGACAGACCAAGCTCATATCTCCTTTCAACTTTGGCGTTGAGTGACAGCTCAAGCCAGCCAAAAACAATCCTATTGCAGAGGGAGGGAGCGTCACACACACACACGCTGCCGCAACCAACAACACACGTGAGAAATCTTTTTCCCGTCCAGTGGGAGTTGTGAGAGAGCCGTTTGTATTAATAAAATACAGTATACATGGGGGACACATCTTGTGTTTTACAGCATTGAGTGACCATATTTATAATTTCATTTAATTTCTGTTCCCAATATCCATCCATACTTTCCTCATGATTGTCGCTCACGTCCTATTCTTGTAGCAACACGCATCTTCCTTGACTGCCGCTGTGATTGTGAAAGAAGTTTTGAATTACAGGAACACTCGTTGTGAACCATCGGCCACTCATTAAAACTAGTGCCCAAATCCCGTACACTTTGTGACAATTCAGTTAGTTTTGGGCGCAATGTGATCATTGACCATGAACTATTTTTGGGTGAATTCTCCCCTCCCTCACTTGATATAATGGCGCTGCAATTTTTTTTTCAATTCATTTTTTTCCTCTGCAGGGGAGTGCGTCCATTTGGGGTGTCATTGTTGATAGCTGGATGGGATGAAGACCAACCCTACTTGTTCCAGTCAGATCCCTCAGTGAGTTCACTTTTTATTTTCTGAAGACATGATTTATCCACTCGGCTGTTTCCTTCATGCTGTTAGTATATTTTCAATGGGTAGATGACACTGCACTACAGATGGGTACTGAGCTTCAGGACTGAACTGGGACAGCTTTTTTTGTAAACTGCAATATCGATAAGTTTCACCCTTAAAGCTACTGTTGATGATCTTGGAGAACTTACTCAAATCTGCATTTTATTTAGGCTGTATAGGAATGTTATTTTGCACCTTCTGCCTCTGATCTTGTTTCTAAATAACAAACAAAGAATGTACTTGCAAGTACGTTCGCACGTATTTACCAGTCAAACATTTTTACTCCCCATTAGCAGTTCCACGCTTCCGTATAATATTGATTTGTTCAAACCATTTCTTTCTGTAAATTGTTTTTTTTATATATTTACATTTATGTTATAGTTGCAAGAAAAGTAAATGTATATATTAAAAATTTGTTAATTGTAATATTTTTGTTTTAGTGTTTTTGCAAACAAAAAAGTGTTGATAAGAATAAGCACCTGATCGATAAGCAATATCATTAAGAGTAGTTGTAAAGTTAAGATCTTTATGATACCCATCCCTGTATGAGACTGCATAAGTTGATGAAAAATCTGATTCCCAAATTCCTTTTATAACTGAAGATTTTAAAACTTAATTCTTCAGTGGTGTCTGAATGTAATAATTGTGTATATGAGTCACACAGTCTATTTCTATATAATAACAGAAAAGTTTTAAAATCCTTTATTGTCCTCCCCATCCTACCTGTACCTTCCCAGGGAGCATATTTTGCATGGAAAGCCACCGCCATGGGGAAAAACTACGTTAATGGAAAAACATTCCTTGAAAAAAGGTAGCTTGCTTCACACTCTCAATATACAGTAAATTGCATTAAGTTAGCAGTTGTATCGCATGGCAAATGATACAGTAAGTGTACCTCAATTTCAACCAGAGTGGTTGAAAATATTTTGTTGAGAGCAACAACATGATGGCCCAAAAAGGTTACTTACTCTCTTACTAGCTATTATTACATACCATTATTATTATTACATTATTGGCAAATGGATCTGGAATTTCTTCTGCATCTTGAAGTTTACCATACTGCACTCTACAGGATTGTTTTTTGATTAGGTTTCATTCTCCAGGTATAACAATGACCTGGAATTGGAAGATGCCATCCACACAGCCATCCTGACTTTGAAGGTATAATTTCCAGGTCATAAATTTCCACAAAGTATGTCAGTCCTTCACATACACACCATTTACTGTATGGTTACAGGAGAGTTTTGAAGGTCAGATGACTGAAGAGAACATAGAGGTTGGCATCTGCAACGAGGGCGGCTTCAAGAGACTCACCCCAGCAGAAGTGAAAGACTACCTGTCAGCCATTGCATGAGCACCCAGTGTATCGTGAAGGGGCTCACTGGCTACATGTCAACATGTAGACATGATCGGGTAGTAGCCGGAATAAAACATATTTCTTCTCTACAACGTGACCTTTTATATCATTCCCAAGACAATTGATAGGATGACTTAAACACGACCACCTGTGTGCAAGTACTAAATTGGGACAGCTTCAATGTCATAGCAAATTGTTTTATTACACTAATTGGCATTTTTCTTTGGCACACCATACATGTAAAATGTGGTATAGTTGGCTACGACACACACCTACTAATGTGGGCTTTGGGTGAAACCTCAAGTCTTCCACTGACATCCCTAGACACAATTGAGGAAAGTGGTTCGTGCAAATCTTTTTTTTTGTCAGCACTTGAGTTCATCTGAACACACGAGTAAGTCAACTGAAGTCAGCGTGATCAGTGAGGTGCTTGAGATGACCCCTCCTTAACAATAAGTTTTCCTGTGCAGCAGTTCTAGATATTGTCCTCTTTTATGACTAGAAAGGATACAGTTTGTATTGATCAGTTACTCATTGAAATAAAATACATTTTGTGTGGGTGTGTTAAAATCTTTGTCATCGTCATCTTAAAGCCTTAGAACAGCCAAACAGTGATACAACAAGCTTTTAACCACACATTCGCGGTCTCTTCGTAAGAGCGCGCTCAAGTGTCTGCCGGTAGTGGTGCGTCGGCAAACCATGCAACGTATTCTTCCGCCTAGTTGTAATTAGCGGCGAATTTTTAGTACATTACATCAAAGCTGGCGGTCATCAAAAGTGTAAGTGTTGATTACGTAAGGAAATGTTGTCAAATTGGGTAGTTTTAGGTTCCATTATACAATTTAGACCTCGGGTCTATATTTCCTCGCGGCAGCTCCTTTCTTACCCTACTGCCGCTCTGATGACGTTTGTGGCGCCAGAAATCAAGGGTTGAGATGAGCGCCACGACGTGGGTCGCGGGCGCGAATATGCGTCTATCTTTTCTATGCAGGTGACGTCAAACTTTAGATGCATTGGAATGCTGTAGTGACCGAGCGCCCGTCATTAGTGCGTTTATAACTTGGGGCTGGAGTCGACATGGTAATGCTACGCAGCAACGGCAGTGGTGTTGTTGTTCAACCGCTGACAGCAACTCCAAACAGGAGGTCGATGGAGTTGGACACAAGCTCGGAGTTTCTGTCTCTTGTTCCCGCTTTGCAGAGAAAATCACCACGGTCAACACGAACCTGTCGCTCTCTGGATGATAGCCTGGGCAGCCCCGAACACAACCGAGTGAGTGTGAGCTCTTGCATGTAAACTGGACTGAGTGATGTGTTCACGGCACTTGCTGCTGTGCTGTCGCTTGCTATACTGTCAAACTGACAGTCAAATAACACCCCGCGGTTCACTCCAAACTCGCATCTCAGTTTGTTTAAATCGGGAGTCACTCATTTACTTGTCAACTTTGCATACTGGTAAAAAATGTGGCAGTCGACCCATTGAACAAGTTTTTAAATCCGATCAACATCACTTCGTCGTATTCACGAGCGTGTCAAGGATGCTTCTATGTAAATATGGAATCCTTCATCTTGTGTTCCATGGCAGTCATTTTGAATTCAATTCATACAAGGGCTGGTTTCAAGGCAGCTGAACTCAACATGAGATCACAGTAGATTGGGTTGAATTGTGACATTTTTCACCGGTCAACGGTCCCTGAATAGGTCATATCTTTGATGTTTTGAATGCAAGGGACATGTGTCTACTGTCCTCAACAGAAATCCTCTCCAGAAGGGTTCATCCGAAGCTTGGTGATGGAACGCCCCGTTTTAAGAACGTGCACGCCCCCTTCCAGACATCGATGCTGAGGGCTAAAAAATGGCGTAGTTTTCAAATTCCGTTCACGTGGTCAGCAGCAATAAATGAATGTAGAAGCACAACCGCATATTAGCACTGTAAAAGTTTTAAGAGTACTGAACGAAATGAAGCGCGCAATGAAAAGACGTCACTTGACGCCGTAGCTGGATTGGATTATACAGGCGGAAAGAGCGAGCGTCAACCAATCACAAAATCGAACTTCACCAGAGTGGACCAACCAAGAAGACGCACGCTTTCCAATATTAAGTTGTCGAAAACGGCTTAGTTATTATATTTTGTTCACGTGGTGAGCGTTAAGCAAAAAATATCAAAATAACGTTTGAAACTGTTTATATACAGGGACGTATTTAGTTATATGGACCCAGAGCAAACCCAGGTTTGATTATCCACATCCATCCATCCATTATCAACTCAAGTCAACTTTATTGTCAAATGTGCTCGATGTGCAACATACAGCACAGATGAAATTTCTTTCCTCTCAACCACAGGAGAGAAAGGAGCCACTGCGGGTACCACCACCATCAACAGAACAGTTAACATAAAATGACAAACTAATATAACACAACACATAAGACACAGACAGTCACGCAATCTTAACCACTTTTTCTGCATACACTTTGTTGTTTGAAGCAGTTATAGGTGAAAGAGGAGAGAATCAAAGTGTCCTTTCACCAGTGGATCAAAGACGTCATGCTGAAAATGTGCACATGTCTGCTACAAGCTAAGTTTGAAAGCAAACAAGAAGCTGTAGCGTTCATTGACGAAAAAAGATCTGCAACCGCTTAATCCTCATAAATGTCCCGGCAGTGCTGGAGCCTATCCCACCTAACTATGGGCAATCGGCGGGGTACACCTTGAACTGGCATACACATCGACAAACCAACATTTGCACTCACAATCACACTTCACGTTCATTTTGACAATCACACTTCACGTTCATTTTGTGACTGCTAGGGAGATGGTGAGCAGCAGTTGGGAAGGTGTCTCCACGACTTTCCAAGGACCAGAGGCCGAGTAAAACTAGAGGTCTCCTTTAGTGACATGCAACCAAAAGCTGGAGGCTACGCCACAAGGTGAGAGACTAAGCGTCTGTCCGTATGGGCTGATAGTTTCACAGCCTGCTTGGAATTGGGGTTGAAGACGACTCAAGAATCTCCCAGCTAACAGGTAGACCGCCACTAGCCGTGACCAAAGTGAAGTTGAACAACAGGGGCGAACTGTCCACACTCCCCTGTGTGGTGATTTTAGTTACTGTTGTTTTAGTGAATGAAGACTGGTGTTTCTAGGTGGCTAGCAAATATACTGTCAAAGCAAAAAGTGTAGCCATCCACATTAATTGAAGGGATGATCCATTACTGTGGCTGATCTATGCATCCATACATCTATTTTGTGCATTTAGGAAATCCTCCAGGCTACAGAAGGAAGGCAAATCATCCTGCGATAAACTACAAGGGGGTACGTTTTGGCAAGCGGTCTTGACATGTCGCTGTAATTCTCAGTTTTCCACATCATGTTTATCAAGCATGTGTTTTTTTGGACGGTATGTTCTCCCAGACCAACAACCTGGTTTCTTGTTAATGTTCAAGATGTTCCAGATGAGGTAGAAGGGACTTCCACTCCGAAAAGAAGCCGCGTTAACTTAAGAAGCCCCGAAGACGAGGAGGAACACTCTTTACGACGTAGTTCCAGAATCATCCAGCACAAATTTAATTCCCGGAATCAGTCTGTCCTCTATGACCGCCTCATCACCAAGTGAGTATCCCAACATTTTTTTGTGACATGTATGATGATATTAAAAACTTAACAAATAGAATACTGTACAAGGGGGTGGTACGTTCAAGTCACAATTGACTGAAATCAGGTGATTTCATTTGAAGCGGCTCTGTTATTATATCGTGGCTCACCAAATTTCTTCCGTGTGATCACCTTAGTACTGCTGAGGCTGTTCTGCAAAAGATGGACGACATGAAGAAGCTGCGACGCAGATTGAACAATGAACAACAGGTAATGATACCTAATGACAAGGCTTTTAACATTGTACTGTGCAGCCCCCAGTGTTTATATTTCCTGAATGAGTTCAAAATGGGAGGGCTGAGCTATAGTTTGCCACAATTAGTGTACTCATTCCAATGAATCGATGCTTTAATTTGTGTAAATGTTCCATTTAGTTGATGCAAAATTGTTTTCCTTGAGCAGCTGGGTGTTTATACCAGAGGCAGAGTAAGGCGATCTCTGAAGACCAATGTGGACATTAAGGACACCAAGGAAAACCCAGGTGGGGGCCTAATGTATTGCTCATATTTCCCTTTGATAAGTTATGTATTTAGGCATTTTGGCTGCAATTGTTTTGAAGTGTTTATGGGGTTACATATTTGCTGGGCCCAAAATCAAAAAATTGTATGGAAATTTTGCCTGTTTACTATTAAAACTGCATAATGTATTAAACCTTAGATAACAATTTTGCTTGGGACATTTAATGTACTAAAATAGATTTGGACAATGTCACCTTACATCAGGGCTCCTCATTTGAAAGTAAGGCGTTTCAGTTCAGGACAATTCCCCAAACCCAAAGTCAAGAACAGGGTTGGTTCCCCAATTAGTTTTCACTCAGGACCACATTATGTCAAGGTTGCCAAGTCATAGGCCAAATTGTCTGGGAGTTGATTTGCTTTTTTCCCATTGGACCAGTAAACATTGTTTCATGTGCAGGGTGCAGATGTTGTTTCTGCTGTCATGCTTTTCAGAATTCTTTCTTGACCAATTAAGGCACATATGTCAAAGTGCCGGGAATGTTTTCAGTGGCCCCTGAGATGATATTGATTTATTATTAGAACCGGCCCGTGGACCGCAGCAAGCTGAGAGCCCGCAGATCTTTTACACGCACCAATACTACATTTCCCACAATGCAACGGTGACGCGCCAAGCAGTCGGCCCGCTTTATTTAAATATTTATTAGTCTAGCAGTTGTTCCCATAACAGTGACATTAGCTTTCAGATACCCATCAAAAATGGCAAAACGGAAGGTGGACACTGAGAACCGGGGGTTTCAAACAAGGTGGGAGTCGAAGTACATGTTCATAGACGTAGCTGGAAAACTTGTGTGTCTTCTGTGCGGAGAAAGTGTGGCGCTATTGAAAGAGTGTAATCTGAGACGACATCATGAAACGAAACACGCGAACAAAAACAAAAAACATGGACATGGAGGGGGAAGGGGGATTTCATTAAAAACGGT